TTGCTAAGCTTGTTCCAAGTAGGTGCTTTAGACCACTGAGCCATCTCACCAGCTCCTAGAAGCTACTTCTGACTCCCAGTTCAAAGCTATCAGGGTACTTTACCTTGGGAGACAGCAGAGCCAACAAAAGGAACAGGTCACACTCTCAGTTGCCCTTTCAGACCAACACGGGACCTGAAGACTACTTGATCTAGCTCAGGCTGCCTAGCAGATGGTATTAGAAAATTATTGTTAGTATAATAATAGCATTTTGGCTATTTTTTAAAAAGAGTATGTATCTGTCAGAGAAATGTACAGAAATATTTATGAATGAAATAATCCCATGTTAGGGTTTTATTTTAAAATAGTCTTGTTTCAAGGGAGTGAGAGTGGGTGGGGAAGTGAGAAAATGCTAGCTACGTGTTAACTATTTTGAAGCTGGATGATGGATATATAAGGGATCAGTATTCTCTTTTTTATTTTTTGATTTTTTATACAGGGTCTCGCTATGCAGTTCAGACTCATAGTGATCCTCCTGTACTGCGGGCCAGCACAGCATGCGGTACCAGGGATCCAACTCAGGACCTTGTGCTTGCCAGACAGGCGCTTATGCCACTGAGCTATCTCCCCAGCCCTTTTTTCTCTTTTCTGTAAGAAAAAATTGTGTAAAAACTAATAAAAATTTGTAAAAATCTAGTCTGTCTCTCTCTCTCTGGTAGACAGACAGACAGACAGACAGACAGACACACACACACACACACACACACACCCCTGGGGGAATATAGAGACTTACCTCCAGACATACCAGAGACAGGGTTTGAGTACAAACCCAGATGCCCAATACCCAGAATGACACAGTGTGCTGTGGTTGAGAGCATAAGCTTCAGACTAACCCAGCCTCTAAACCTCAACTCTATGTGACCCCTGGACCACTCACTCTCTAGCTCTGAGCTTCCCATCTGACAAATGGCTGCAAGAATTTTACTAAACTCACCTGGGTTGGGGGACAATTGGCAGGGTTCCCTGTAATGGCAGAAGAGCAATCTGTCCCTTAGCACATTATTCTCTGCTGTCCTTATTACTCACACCACTACACTGCTTCATGACTTAAAAGTAAGAGACTAGACACTAATTTAAAGCTGGAGGCTGAAACCCTAAGACATCTGCTAACTCTGCCTCAAGCAGGACTTGGGGGTTACTCCTGACAACCAGGATACAACTCAGGGGTAGGCCTATGCCCAGGAGGGCTGAGGTAGACTCACCTACAGCCCGGAATAGACAGGCGCCGTCCTCCTTCATCTGCTTGATGATGAAGCCTTTCTTGTCCCGTAGGGCCTTTTCAAACCAATGTTCCTGCTGGAGGGAAGAGGTGGGATCAGCAACAGGGAAGGCCTGTACCCGCTCCCCAGTATCCTGCTTTCAAGCTCCTGGAGGACCCAACGACTAGCAGAGAAGACACTGGACAGGATAAAGTTCTTGGCCTGTTTTGACCACATCATGCACTTGAAATAGGAAGACTTTTCTTTTAGGGAAAGTCTCGATCCTAGAAGGGGCCCATCTGCCTTCTGACTCCTGCTGACCTTGCAGCTCCTAGTCCAGGGGCCAGACCTGGCAAGTACCTGGGCAGAGAATCTGGCTCTACTTCAAGGAGTTTCACCCAGGGAAGATGCTGAAAAGGGAGTGACTGATGACAGTCTAGAGCCTGAACCCAATACATAGCTGGGCAATTATAAAATGCATTGTACAATCTATGATCTCATTTGTGACTGAAAACATTTAACATATATAGACATGCTTATGTTTACAAATATGCACATATATAAACATGTATGCATGCAAAATTGGGAAAGCTAAACCACAAGATATTATCCCTAAGTGTTGGTGTCACAGATTTTCCTTTTACCATCCTTCTTTATAAAGCTATGCAATCCCTTATCTCAAATCCCAACCCCCCCAAAAAAGGTTTTATCATCAAAAATCTTAAAGGATAAAACAACAGAAAACCTGAAGTGTGTATGTGTGTGTGAAACAAGGAACCAAAAAAAAAGGCCTCCACACTGAGCTATATCCCTAGCCCTTTTTATCTTATTTTGTAAAATTTTGCAAGTCCCGTTAAGCTGCTAAACTGTGCTGGCTATGCTCAAACTTACAATGCTCCTGCCCCAGCTTCCCACAGTTCTGTGATTATAGGTATGTGCCACCATGCCTGGCTCACCCTTTAACTCATTCTGCACCATGACTTGACCAGAACTGACATGTACCTAGGTATCCCATTTCGGAGTGAATACTCAAATATTTGAATGCAGAAATATTCAGGTGTTGGACCAGGAGATGCTGCCCCAGACCCTGCTGGACTGTTACATAAAACAAATTACGTACATCTGGCAATTTTTCTAAATTCTCAATGTTTTCTAAATTCTAAAGCATATCTGATCCCAATGACTCAAATTAAACAAACCTGTCCAAATGCATACTCTGGGAGTTCTAAAAATTAATGACAAAAAAAGAAAAAAAATTAATGACTACGTACTGCTTTAAACACATTTTCCATTTCAAAGCAAGACAGCAGCAGATCTTTCCCAGGCCTCTTACGCCCTCTGCTGGTCACCAGAATCAGCTAGCCTGTTTCAGAAACAGGGCTGCAAACTACACTATAATCCCAAACTTGCTTTCAGGGACACCACCCTATCCTGGGAATTTACAGGACCCAGTCTAATGCTGCCAACACAGAAGATCTCACTTCTCTTCAAGGCCATTTTTCCCCAGCTCAGGCAAGGAGTGAAACTCATCCCTCAAGAAAAACAAAGGAGAAAAATCTTTGCAAGCATAGTAAACATAAAGCCTGGAAGTAGCCAAACCAGGCATGGTGGTGCATGCCTGTAATTCCAGCACTCAGGAGGCTCAGGCAGAAAGGACTATTGTGAGCTCAAGGCCTGCCTGAACATCTTAAAGCAAAAAAACAAAACAAAAAAGATCAAAGCATTACAAAAGTTTGGAGGTCAAGAATTCCGAGTTCTGACCTCACCTGTCACTGCCTTGCTGCATTATTTCAGGTAAACTGCTAATCTCACCGAGCCTGTTTCCTGTAAAATGAGGTATGTAGTCTACTTGACAGAGTTATTAAGAGACTTATAGTAGTTTTAGAACTCAAAAGCACATTTGTTTCTTTTTTAAAAAAATTTTATGTATTGGGGCCGGGGAGATGGCTCAGTAGAATAAGCGCTTACCTGGCAAGTGCAAGGGTCTGAGTTCAATCCCTGGTTCCACCAAAAAAATAAAAATAAATTTTATGTATTTAGTTCAGGGTCTCACTATGCAGCTCAGACTAGTTAGTGATCCTCCTGTTTCAGCCTCCCCAGTGCTGGGATTACAGGCATGTGCCACCACACTCAGTCTTTCAAAGCACCTTTATTAATTACATACCCTATATTGGTGAGGTGGTCACTAACCACAGAGATCAGCATAGAAAGAGGTATGACTGCCATCTCAAAAAGCCCTGAGTGGCTTGACACGAGGTGAGGAAGAACAAGAGAATACATACATAGCCAGCTCTACTACTAAGGCCCACAGGCCAGGAAGGCATGGCTCAATTTCCAGAGAGGACCAAGGTGCCTGGAAGCAATTAATGGGCTTCCATGGGTAGCACCAAGACTCCTGCTTGGGTGTAACATTCCAGAAGTCCAGGTGCCACTCCTACTCAGGAGGCTATGGACAGGCACACTCCAGCCTGTTACCCCCAAGCCTATCCCTACCCTATAGGATCAGCATGGGGCCTACCCCAATATGGGTGTGACCTACAGGTAAGCTCCAACCATATTCATAGCCCCAGACTTTACACAAGGAAGAGTTGCAAAAAAAAAAAGGGGGAAGACAACCTCCTCATTACCTCACTCCTAGGAAAGAAAGAAAGGTATACATGGAAACAAAGAGGTGCCAACAGGGCCTGGTATACAGCACAAGCCTATGACTGCAGCAGTTAGCAAGGCTGAGGGGGTCACAAGTCCAGGGGCAGCTTGGGCAACTCAGAAAGAGTCTGTCTCAAAATTAAAGACAGAAAGGGGCTGGGGCTATAGCCCAGCAACAGAGTGCTTACCTAGCATGTTTGAGGACCTACATTCGAGCCCCAGTACCACAAAAAATAAAATTAGAGGACAGGGGCTCATACTGACTCATCTAACAAAGATGTGAGTCAGATCCTGGACTGGGCAATAAGAACAGAGAAATGAATCAGGCTTGGTCTCTACCCCTGATAAACTCACAAACTGCTAAGGGAGGGGCAGGGAAATGAAATGACCATACTCGCTGGCAGCAAGAGGCCAACCCAAGGTGTTGAGAAACAGAGAAATAGACTTGACCCTGCCATTAAAATGAGTACATAAGCAAAAGACTAACACATCAAGACCTCCAGTAGTATTTGTTAACTGGATGAGAGAAATAAAGTCGCTTCTGTGCCAGGTGTGGCGACACTCCCCTACAATCTCAGCACTTGGAGATTGAGGAAGGAAGACTGCAAAAATTTGAGGCCAGCCTGGGCTATGGTAACAAATTCAAGACCCTGTCTCAAAATGCAAAAACAAAGCAAAACAAAAAGAAATGAAGTCACTTCTGCCACAAAGCACACCGGTGACACCAAGAGGCCAACAATGTGTTCACCAGAACCAGCAGCCTGAACAGGACTAGATACAAAAACAGGGAAAGGCCAGGAAGAAAGATGAACTCCTATTAACTAAATGTTTGCTGCACACCAGGTGCCAGAGGCAAAGGCTGACCTCATTTAGTTGTCTTTACCACAGCCTAAGCGGCAGGAAACAATATCCTCACTTTATAAAGGCACACAAGAGCTGAGATTTACACATGAGCAAAATCTAATGTAGAGATAAGAGAGGAACCCCTGTGAACCACAGCAGAGACAGGCCTGGCAGCTGGTCCTGGGAAAATCTGGGTGTGTCCCTAAAACTGAGGGAGACCTGAATACCCCTTGCAAAAGGAGAACTTGTGTTCTCCAGCTGCTACATTACCATCTAGGCCTGGATCCAGAGGCTGGACCACCAGCTAACCACTGGCCTGGGTGCCAACAGCCTGAAGAATTTAGGCTCTGCACTCCCTCCCCACACTTTGGGGAGAAAATGTTGTTTAGTAAGTTCTGGTAGGAGTAGGGCTGGAAGGTTCCCAGTAGTAGGTAAATTTATTTATTTATTTAGTGGTACTGGGGATTGAACTCAGGACCCTGCACTTGCCAGGCAAGCGCTTATTCTACTGAGCTATCTCCCCAGCCCCAGTAGTAGTTAAATTTAAATTACATCATTGTAGGCTGGGGAGATAGTTCAGCAGTCTAAAGCACCTGCTTAGGCAAGCTTAGGTAAGCACAGGGACTGTGATCCCCCAGCACCACATGCCACGCCAGCCACACCCCCAGGGTGAGCTGAACTGGCCACAAAATAAATAAACAAATAACATCACTGCTCTGATCTGAGGTCAAGCGGAAGCCCTGAACTTTCCAAATTCACTGCTGAGCCTGTGGGAGAGTTCCTCCCTATTTCTAGGCCTTCACAGAAAGTTTGAGCAAAGCTCTCTGATACCAAGGTATCACAGGAACTAAGGCAAGACTACAACATAATGGTCTACAGGTCCAAGTAAGTTGCTATGGACGTCAATTGATTAAGGTTGCCATCCAGGTCCACCAATTATTAGCCACTTGATGAACTGCTGTGAGAGTTTTCCAGTCTGTAACGGGGATAACAAACCTCTCAGTAATACGGTTACTAGTTAGACTTGAATACAGTATTACAGAACTTTGCCTATTAAGAGACTATGTATGGGCTGGCCAGATAGCTCAGCAGATTAAAGCACCTGCTCAGGCAGACCCAGGGACCAGGGTTCAATCCTCGGCAAGCTGCGCCAGCCCCACCCCCAGGGCACGCTGACATGTTGGTGGTGTGCGCCTATAATCCCAGTGCTTGAGAGGCTGAAAACAGGAGGATCACGATGAGTCTGACCTATGTAGTGAGACCCTATACTAAATATATTTTTTTAAAAAAGACTATGCAGGGCTGGAAAGATGGCTCAGTGGTCTAAAGCACGTACTTGGAACAAACTAAGCTAAGCAAAGCACAGGGACCACGGTTCGATCCCCCAGCAACACATGCCAGCCAGCCGCGCCCCCTGGTGGGCTGAGCTGGCCACACACACACACACACACACTAAATAAATGTTTAAAAAAAAAAGACTATGCAATGAGTTCCATTTCCCTCTGTTATCAGTAGTAGACTAATGACCCACCCCAAAGATACCAGACTTAATCCCTGAAACCTGTAAAAAGTACCTCAGAATGAGAAGGCATTGAATGTTTGTAGACA